AAATGGGGCCTATGGGGAAAAATCGCAAAGCGATTTTTCCCCATAGGCAACATCGAAATGCGATCGCAAAAGTGATGGCAAAAAAGCCATTGCTATGCAGATTCGTCATTAAACGGGGCGCTCGTTAGACGAGGCACCACTGTAAAATGAAATCAGGGCTTGAAGTACTGGTTTTAGCATGACTCTAGGCTCCAAGATCTTGCTGCAGTGGCAGACTGATACAAACTGAGGAAAGAAGGCTAAGCATGCACTATAGGTGTGAAGGGAGGAGAGAGCTTTGGGCTTGCAGGTTCTAGAAGATGGTGAATTGTGCAGGCACATTAACCCCAGGGGTGTGCATCACAGAAGATGATGAACAAGAAGCACTTTCACTAAGTTAGCAAGTGTAGAATTTGCAGAACCGTAAAATAAAAACAAAAGACTTACTTCACACCAGGATTTTTCTCAGAAAGATCTTTCTCCATTTGTTGCATTTCAGTAGTTTTTCTGCATAAGATACCAAAACAAGATGCAGACTTCCCTGAAAAATATCTTAGCCATGTCAAAATGAAAAACGTTTTCACAGACATCCCCTGTGTGTTTGGGATTTAAATAGCTGTGTGTGGAATGCTGTGCTGGTTGATGGGGCTTTCCAGTAAGCATCTTTATGTTGTCCCCTGAAAAATTCCCCTTTCTACTTACTTCGACCGGAAGTATAATAACACTAGGAAGTCTTCCTGTTTTAGGGGCTCTAGTATGGACCACACTGTCTCCATTCAAAATCTGCATCTTCTACTAATTGCTGATCATCTCTGGGTAAGGGACCTTCGTGCACAATGAAAAATACTGAGCAGTAACCCAAGTACTCTTGAGTGAGTGGTAATCCTATTGCTTCTATCTCTAATAGGTGTCCTATGGCTCTGACGATTTGGTATTCTTCCTGCTTGTAAGCACTGGCCACATTCCTGCCCTAGCATGTGTGGGAAAATCCTCTGCTAATACACAGGACTGTCTGGATCCCAATCATGGTGTAAATGATGAAAAACACACCTAAAATCTGAGATATATCGTAAGTGAATAAATAATCAATCAGGGGAACAGTACATAAATAATGAAAAAGAAAACTTTTACTCACTGTGAGACGCTAATTTTCTATAGTAGAAGGACAACATCCTACAGATCAAATTCCCCTTTCTACTTACTTCGACCGGAAGTATAATAACACTAGGAAGTCTTCCTGTTTTAGGGGCTCTAGTATGGACCACACTGTCTCCATTCAAAATCTGCATCTTCTACTAATTGCTGATCATCTCTGGGTAAGGGACCTTCGTGCACAATGAAAAATACTGAGCAGTAACCCAAGTACTCTTGAGTGAGTGGTAATCCTATTGCTTCTATCTCTAATAGGTGTCCTATGGCTCTGACGATTTGGTATTCTTCCTGCCTGACTGTGGTAACTGTGGTGACATCTCCAATCTTGAAGATGGCTTAATTAGTTCTATCCTGTATCCCCATTTGATAGTATCCAAGACCCTTTGGTCCAAAGTGTGATGCTCCTTCATCTGTATAACATTCAGGAGACACACACAACACTTTTGGAGAGCCTGGCTTTATTTACATTGCTCCTTGTTCCAACCCATGTTTGACAGAAATGAGTTTTGGCCTGGCAGCCTGGGAGGGGATTTTAACTTGCTCCCCTGAGGAGGAGTCTGCCTTGCCTGCCTTCTGAATGCTTTGAAATGTCTTCCTTTCCTGGGGTGGAATGAAGGACTTTTAAAATATATTTGGTTTCTACCAATACGGGATCTCAGAGTATTTCCCCCTTCCAAGACTGCATCAGACACAGCTGCAGTTTTCTTGCAACCCGCTGAATCACTGAGTGGACAGGTTGTGCTCCTTTAGCAGGGAAATCTCCCGGACTACATGGCAGGTCTCCTTAGAGAAGCTAAAGAGCTCTCGTTCCTCCTCAGCTGCACTCATGGCCAGCCTGAAATGAGGGAGGGAAGGGTAATACTTTACACCGAGGAATATGAGACCCTCAAGAGACCTGGATGAGACTGTTTTCTTGTCCCTCAACCTCTGCCATTGTCTGGGGTGCCTTAGGGCAGATAGGTAATGAAGGCAGAAGAGAACAGAGAGTTATATGGAAATAGCATTTTTTAAAAGTAGAGTAGAATTAAAAAGAAAGAGAAAAGCTACAGAGGGAAGAAAGAGAAGGACTGATAGGAACAAAATGTAGTTGAGCAAGGGGTTGCCTCTTCCCTATAAGAGGAACCATAGAGACACTTGATTGGTCAGCAGTTTCTGCCTATAGAAGCAAGTCGGATGGGGAATGCAATCTGCAGGATGTCTTTCTCCACTACAGGAAAATAAATATCTTGCTTTTCTTATACAAATTCCTGGTAAATATAAGAATATACTGAGTTCATAAATACTCAAGTGAAATACATACCTAGGTATATTTCTGAGAGGATATGATCAAGTGGAATTAAATAGAAATGGGTTAATTTTGCTTTATTAAGCAATCAACATTTTCATTATTGTGTTTTCAATTTAATAAAATCAGTTCAGTCTTTTCTCTGTGTAAGCACATAAAATATAAAAAGTGAAAACATACTGGTCTGTTGGTAGATCTCCCTGTACGGAAACTGTTACACCTTGCATCAAAGGAGGGATAGTCAGTATTACATCCTAGGGAACAAACAAAAGACATCCCAGTCTTGTGATTTATGACTGAGTTAGCAAAGACCATTCATGTTTCTAACAAACTTTAGCACCAGAAACAAAACAGAATATTTTTCGCTCCATAAAACGCACCTTTCCATAAGACACGCCAATTTTTTAGGAGAAGAAAACAGGAAAATATAATCTGTTTTCTTCGCTCCATAAGACGCACAGACTTTCCACCCCAGTTTTGTGGGGGAAAAGTGTGTCTTATGGTGCGAAAAATATGGTAATACAGGAGTATCTAGCACTGAAGATAATTGGATTTCCCTGTCAACACATTCACGTGTGAGTCTAATAATAGAAGCTTGCTGAACTCAGGAGAAGAAGAAATAACTGCGTCACGGTTCTAATTGATATTGTATTTGCTGGGCTAAAAAAGTTGATTTTTATTCTGCAATATTTGGACAAAGATTGGAGGGAGATCTAAGGGGAGGTTTATGATGAGGGGTTTGAATTGTTGATAAAATTGTGGAAACTGTGGAAGGATTTCTAGGGGGTGATTATTGTGGTATTTACACAAACCCCAAAGCCTGAGATGGACCCCAAAAATTCAAAAGAACAAATGGAGACTTGGTCTGTTCAATCCCAAAGTTCTGGAATAGTGGTGCAAGAAATAGAAAAGGAATGGCAGATTAATATACAAAGGCTAATATTAACAGGGTTCCAGCAAGTGAATGCAGGTCTTAGCAAAATAGAAAATTTGATGAAAGGGACGAAAGAGGGGACAGTAGATGCCAAACAAAACTTAAATGAAGTTGTACAGACTTTAGAATCGTCTGTATTAGACATGACACCAGGTAATATGAATGCAGTAGAGAGTTATCCAGTGACCCATGCAGCTTCCAAAATTAAAAAGCATTATGACAAAAATCTTAAGGAGGCAGAGATACTGAAACCAGACAATCTTATGGTGAAAATATGGGAAGTGAAAAAAATGGATATTCTGTCAGATGGGCTGAAAGACTGTTCAATTCAAAAAGAAACTGAACGATGGGATGTATTGTATAAATGGCAGCAGCTACCAGACAATGTTGGAATAACATAGAATAAAATCAAAATTAAATGATAAGATAAAAGCAGGAGGGTAATCAAACTGTGAAAAAGCAAAAAGTTGATATGTATTAGTAATATGAATTGATTGGATGATGTTATACTTTATGCTATCCTATCCCCCAAAACCATTTTTCCTTCTCTATCCCCTCTTTCTTTTGCTTACTCAACTCTCCCATTGTGGCATTAGCTACAACTCACAACGCCATGTGGTACACCAAGCAAAAATGAGAAGTTGAAACTATCCTAAGATAACCCATCTATATAGAGCTATCATCTTTGAAAAATCCCTTTGCAAAACTACACACAAAATTCTTCATTCCAATTTGTCACAAAACATAAGCATCTTCCTTACTAATTTTTTGGATGGAACAATCAATACAGTGGTACCTCAACTTATGAACTTAATCCATATTTGAACGGCATTCATGTCGAAAAGTTTGTTAAATCAAGGCAAAATTTCCCATAGGAATGCTTTGAAAACCATTTAATCCATTCTGGCTGTTTTTCGTTCTTATGCTGAGGCGCTGTTCGCAAGTACAGTGGTGCCTCACTTAGTGATGTTAATCCGTGCAGCAAAAATCGCTGCTAAGTGATTTTAAAAAGCCCATAGAAACGCATTGAAACCCCTTCAATGCGTTCCTATGGGCTAAAAACTAACCTTAAAGCGAAGTTCTTCCGTGGGGTGGCCATTTTCGGTGCCTCTAAAGCGAAGCAAAACAGCAGGCGGCCATTTTGTTTTTCCGGCGGCCATTATGAAACTGCCGGTCAGCTGTGCGAAAATGGGGGCTTTGTGATGATCGCTTCCCTGTGATCATCACAAAGTGAATATTCCCCATAGGGGCGATGGCAAAAAGTCCATCGCAAAGCGATTTCATTGCTATACGGAGCGATCGCTATGCGAGGCACCACTGTAGAGGTATTGGTTCCCATAGGAACTAACGCAAAGCCGGTTAATCCATACTCTACCACAAGGGGGAGATATTTTTATTTTTTCTCCTTTTGACCTAAGATGTCCTTAGGTTAAAAAAAGGGCAGGGAAGTTTTCTTTTTTCATTCTTAAGTCGAAGTTCCATTCCCAAGTCAAAGCAAAATTTTGCGAATGGAGCCATTTGTAACTTGAAATGTTCGTAAGTACGACATTTGCAAGTCAAGGTACCACTGTATCATACACACACACTAAGGGGTGGGGTAAAAACAGGCAAGTATTGCTGGGTGGAGGCAAAGATGTTGAACCTGAAGCTGTCCTACTTAGAGCACATCAGATGGGCAATATTAAAATGAAAGAAGAGGTTGC